TTGATTATTTTGTGGTTTGTGGATTAGATAAATATCTTGATGTTGAATCTTTATCCGAATTACCTGGTAAAAAACTAAAAAAAAAAAAAAATTCTATTTTTTTTTAATTTATTTAATGAAATTAAAAAAAAAATGTTTCAGTAGGTGAACAAGTTTTAAATCCATTTCAATGTTCATATCGATGTCGTGTATTATGTCATTATCCACATGAAGTTCCAAATAATCCATTTAATGAAGATGCGATTAGTCGTGTAAGAATTTTAATTTCAGAAAATATTTTTAATATTTTTTTTTTCTAAACAAATAGTCGTCAATGCCAGATGGTGTTTCTATTCGACTAAATTCTCCTGATCCCCGAACAACACATCCTTTTTTAATAACACGTCTTGATGGAACACGTTATTATGATGTTGTATTAACATTTTTTGAACAAATAAATAATGATGATGAAAATATTTCTCAATGTTCATCATCAACAGCATTTATTTCTTTAAATCGTTTAATTGAAAATTATAATCGAACATGTCGACATCAACGTCGTTCATCATTATTAATTTATGCAAGCAAAACTATTTGTTTAATTGGTCCATAAGCACATTATTCAATATTTAAACGTATTTTAGAACTTCTTTATCGTATGACAATTGAACATGATTTATATATACCATCTCCATCATTATCACATTCAGCTCTTAAATTTAATATTGGTGAAAGACAATTAACTGTTTGGCAACCAAGTATTCATGATAATGATTTACCTTTATTAGATTTTAATTTATTGGATTTTTTTTCTCTATTGGGCGTTGAAGATCTTGTTACATGTGCTTTATTAGAACATCAGATTATTCTGAAATCTTCAGGTATTCATTTTTTTTAATTCTTCATTTGATAAAACGAATTTTTTTATTATGCTCGACAAAAACTCAAGTTCATAATAGCTGTTTATACGTATGGGCAAGATGGTCTCGATCTCGTCGTGACAAGTATTGGTAAAATACGCTCTGACCATCGTTTTAATTAGGACATATACCAGTCGATAGAGCTTTAAATCCTGAGTCTAGTGGATCTCAGTGTAAGCCAATAGCTCAACAAAAGAAATGTTTGGAAAATGAAATCAAACGTAGCTACTCTGCTACATCTTTTGAACTGACGAGGGCGACC